ACCCTCAAAATATGAAACCTAAAGAAACTTTAAAGGGATGAAAAAGTCTCCAAGCCAGTGAATCCAGATCACAATCAGGAATACTTCAGATTGAGCTCCCGTGAATTAGCAGGACAGGACAGTGAAGACAAGAGACAGGCAGACAGGTTAAAATGCTTCCGCATAAGACAGAAAGCCAAATGACAAGGAAGTACCCAGGGAACAGCAGCCACTTAAGCACCCTCTGCTGAATGACTCTAAATCCAATGTTGTAACAGTAAGCAGCATGTCTGCATTTTTAAGAAATCAAAGCTTCTGTTTGGAAAATGATTTCTGCCAGCCCTGTCCTCTAAGGAGGACAGGGACCAGATGCCTAAAGATCCCAGCAAGACAGAGTTGCTTTTTGTAAGGCTGTGCTGTCTCCCTTGTTCCCCACCCAGCTCTGAGTCTGTGGCCACAGGGCCCACAAGGCCAAATGATGATAATGTCTTATCTCTTCTTGTTCCAGATCACTTGGCTTATGAGTCATGACAGTAAAGCTGTAGTCATTTCTACTAATTGAACACAAGATCATTTTAAAATTTGGCCGATTTTCACAGATCCTCTGAGTTCTTGGCCCCAGAAATCAAGCTACAAGTTTCTGCTGTTCAGAAGTCATCATGTTAAGGGCCTATGACTTAGTAAACAAGCAAATAAGGAGAGATAAATTCTGGGTGTAATCGGGGGAAAGTGTCAGTGTGAACACAGGTTTGGCACAAGAAAGATAAAGAAAAGCTTTGAATGTTTTGCTTTGCTTTGGTGTATTAAAATAATGCTGTGTGAAGTGTTTATCCTTCATGCTTACCCTGTGCTTAATTACTATGCAACAGTTCTAACATCTTGAAACAGATTAACCATGTGGCTTGGTTTGGTTTGGTTTGGTTTGGTTTGGTTTGGTTTGGTTCGGTGGTTGTTTTGGCGTAGGGATCTCAAGCATGCAAAGCACAATCTCTACTGCTGGGCTAAATTCCAGCCTTTGTTATCTGACTGCAAAAACAAACTCTCCAGGCCTGTCATCAGGTCCTAAGGCTGAACTCTGGGCGCATTACTTGACCTACTGGGAACTAAACCATACACATGCCTACATGGACCATTCATGGGGCCAGACATGCTGGGATGGACCGCACAGTCTTCACAGGAGGACTGAGCCCTCGCTAGGAACCAGAGCATGAAGGCTGCATGGGCAGCCCATCACATACTAAGTCACCAGCCAGCACCTAATTCAGGAGCATCTTTCTGACCTATCTGGCCAAGTAATCTGATCTTGGAAGGTAACTGTCCACCCACAAGTCATAAAAGATTTGCCTATAACTAAAGCCATTCCTTGCAGTGCTTGTGTGTCTGTAAACAAGCACAGGAACAAGAACTCCTAATACTACTGGAATTTAGAACAAAATATAAAAGAAAATCTATAAGAGTAGTAAAAGGAGTGATTTAGTTTTCAAATATTTTCCTTCTGTTAAGCCAGGTCAATACTACTATCTGTTTTACTTTTAGATGCTTTAAAACGAGGTGAAATAAAAGTTTATACAGAATTTGTTTCCTTCACTAGAAAAAAAAATTACAAGCTTAATTATTTTGTACAGAAGACAGGAGGTTGACTTGGGAGCTCTTGTAACCGGTCTACCATCCTTCCAGCAGTAAGAATAAGCAGAGTATTCTGGGCAGTATTTTCAGTTTCTGCCTTTTTGTGTTCAATGCTAAGGGTCAAACCCAAAGCTTCCCACATACTGGGTTAGCACTATACCACTGATTTATGCTCCCAACTCTCCAAGTTTCCCATTTAATGAAATTCAAAGGAAAATGGATACAACTTTGAGACCAAACTCAGAGGTAAAAAGGTTCAGAATCACTTAGGTAAACAGCGGGTTGCCTCCCTAATCTAAAAACTAAAGGAGTTAGAGGGATACAAAATGTACAGTGAACCCTGGGAAAGTGACAAGGGGAGGAATTGTCTAAGTGGGGAAGGCAGAGGACACTGTTAATCTTGCATCACAATTTGAAACCCATATTGTTTTCATCGCTCTCTTTAGTTTGGCTATATTGTGTTCCAGTTTGTCTACTTGTACTAGATTTGAGGGCACGGACAGCTATCCCAAAGATAGCAGGATATACTACGGTAACCATTTTTAATTTCCTATTAAATTAATCTGAAACCCTATATTGCTTTCACTGCCTTGTTTTGACTGATTTTATTTGAATCTGTCTTGTTCTATCACCATCTTGATTGACTGATTTTATTCGAATCTTTTATGTTCGATCAAATCTGAGAGTATAGGCAACTACTCTGAAGACAATAAGACTATTGTCTTATTGTCTATTTGACTATTACCCTCTTTTGAAGTCCTACAATGTCTCCAATGTTTTGTTTTTATTGATTTTGTTCTGTACTGTTATGTTCAATTTTATTGTACCTGATGATAGGGGGAATTCTATTGAAGATAACAGGAGACATCATGGTAACCAGTGTAGATCACTTTTTATTGTGGTTTTAAATCATGTACTATGTCCATCCTTTTGTTCTGATGATCACATTTTGTTTCGTTTTGTTTTTAATTTTTATTCTCACTTGGTTTTATTCTTTTCAAAATTAAAATAAGTTCAAAGGAAAATAAAAGTCAAAAATTATTCTTCACTTCTTATCTGTTATTAAACTTCCAAGGGATTTTGCAGAAGTAGATGGCAATAAATCTCTCAAGTGGCTATCTCAGGATTAAAGTATTAAATGCCACACCAAAAAAAAGTTATATTTTAATAACTTTTATAAAAAATAAGGAAAAACAGAGTTAACACCTAAGTAGTAATTTGCTTTTTATCATTCCCAATAAATAAATAAAGATACTTAAAGAGAAAAGGAGGGAATATAAATATATAGAACAATAGTTTTCTAATATCTTTAAACACAAAATTTAAATCATTGAAAATTTAAATAAATATAATGCAAAGTATAAGATAAATATATGAGTTCGTATGATATGAAATAAATACCTTGAATAAATAAATGGAATGAATATATCTGTCTGTTACACAGAAGAATTCCAAACAACTTTTGTAACTACTCTCCTCACTAGGAAGTGGAGCATAAATCCCCATCTCAAAAATGCGATTTCTTCCCAAAAGAGTACAGTGTTGATACAAGGGGAAAACAACTTGACATTAAAGAAACATTATAAAAACTACTCAGCCAGATGACCAAAGCCAAAGTCAACCCTAATAAGTCATGCGGATCACAGTCATCCTTGATATCAGCTAATGAGAAAGGTATTTTACCTCTGTGGTTTTCCTCCCCAAGTCTATAATCCCAGCCTAATTATAAGAAACATGTAAAACCCCAACTGAGGAACATTCTGCAAAAGATCTAACCAGTACTTCTCAAAACCGTCAAGGTCATCAAAAACAAGAGCAGCCTGAAAAATCACAAGATTCAACAGAACCCCAAAGAAGATGACTATTCAATGCAATATGGTATCTTGGATAGGAAGCTTAGGTAGAAAAGGCATGTTAGGGAAGAATTAAGGAAATCTGAATGAAGTATAAACGTTATATAATAGTGCATCAATGTGGGCTACAAACTGTAACAAAATGTACCATACACCAAGGTAAGATGTTAGTAATAGAGGAAACCAGGTATCCCTTGGGAATTTTCTACATGCAACTTTTCTATAAACGTAAAATAAACAGATGATTTCTTAAAAAGATAATATGTAAAAGTATATTTTTTAATGAGATGCTGTGATTGAATATGAAATTCAAAGAAGCTCCAGAATTCTGCTTTCCTTACCTTATTAGCTACTTGGGTTCCAGACTGCCTGCCTCAGTCAGTTTAGGCTGCTATGACAATAACACCTCAGACTGAGTAGCATATAAACAACAGAAGTTTATGTCTAACAAGTCTGGATGCCAGGAAGTCCAGGATCAAGGTGTCAGTAGCTTCAGTGTCTGTGGAGGGCCATTTTTTCATTGTAACTTCATATGGCAGAAGGACTGAGGGATCTTTAGAGACTCTCACTCTCTCCCTCTCTCTGTCTCTCTCTCTATATATATATTTCCCAGTACTAGGGATTGAGCCCAGAATGCTTCCACTGAGAGACACAGTCACAATAAATCACTAAGTTGCCCAGGCTAATCTCAAACTTGTAATTGTCCTGCTCAGTCGGGCCCCCTTTGTACGGGCACAACTCACATTCATGTGAGCAAAGCCCTCATAACTTAACCACTTTTCAAAGGCCCTTTCTTCTAACACCTTCAGTCTGGGGATGAGGACCTCACATATGAATTCACATAAATATTGAGACCATAGTAATGCTGCTGAAAAAAAGAGCAGTTTGAAAATCCAGAAAAACTGGGCCATACTATCATTATAAAATACCAGCTTGGGCTGGGGATTTGGTTCAGTGGTATAAGCACCTGCCTGACAAGTGTAAGGTTGCGAGTTCAATCCCCAGTACAAAATAAAATAAAATAAAATAAAATACCAGCTCACTTCAAGTGGCCTGGTAGGATTCTGATACTTAATTCAGAGTTGCTTTAAATGATTGCTTTAAACCACCAAGCTCCGTGCATGTGGAACTACATCTTGGGCTCTCTAGCCAATGCTGAGCATTCCGTGGCCATCAAAAACTCTGTGGCTGATAGATTCTCCAACACTAGCATGAGAAAGGACCACTGCAAATACAGAATGAAGGCTTTCACCACCAACTTAGCAACCTTCCTTGGCAATGGATCTGCAGAAATTACTTCATCATTAGTCAAAGCCATCCCATGTCTTCTGGTGAGACGAGACAGGACAAACATCTCGACATGCATTTCTGGCCTCCATGTGTCTCGCAGAGTGATACATGCCATCTTGTTCCTACTACCTCACTAACCACTACTTCTGGTAGAATTCAAAAAAGGATATTAGCAAGAGTTTCCCAAAACTAATCACATTTAGATTACATTATCCTCATGTGGGTTGATCCATTCCATCACAGATTACTCACCCACAGGACAAATATGGTGCAACTGAATCAAGTCCTCACAAGCTCCCTGAAATGAAAGGTGATTTTCACATAGGAAGCTACAGAGTTTCTTTCTCATCAGTTGAGAGCTGCATTTGTTTCCAACTGCAATAGTATCACAGCAGTGGGTCACTGGCATGTCACATCTGTGAAACCAGAGAAAAACAATAAATTAGAAAAACAGACAAAATGCTTAGGAACCTAGGGTTCACACCAATATCAAATATGTAAGACATTTATTTAGCTAGTAGTTAATGGCCCCTACTATGAATCAGGCACATCACTACGTTCATGGAGCTCGTACGAAAACCCAATAAACAAAGCATTGAAGTATTTCAGATAGTAGAAGTGCTAGAAAGGAAACAGCCTGAGGTGAAAGACTAGAATGGGATGGGGTGGTAGACAGAGCCATGTAGACTGAGAGAAGGAGAAGCCTTCAATAGCCAGGGAAATCCTCTCCAAGGAGGTGACATCTGACCATTTTCAAATGACTAAAAGCCAACCAGGTGGGGAAGGGTGCTCCAGGTAAGGCGAAAGCCACAAAAGCCACAACGCAAAGGCCAAGGATGGAACCATAGTAGGTGTGTTCAGTAAAAGGAAGACCAAATTCAAATGAGGTCACATAAAGGTTGAAGAAGACATAAAACCCAACATACTTGACAACATGGAGCTAGTTCCCTAGGTAGGCTCCAAGATCAGAGCACAAGGAATCAGGCCTGTGAATGACACATAATGAGGCAAAGAGCAGACTCTGATTACCAAGTTTCACGTTAGAATTTGCATCCGAAAAACATCAAGGCTACCATGCAACGTGGCCTGGGACCAACAGCCTAACAGACCTGATGCTGATCAAGGAACATAGGCGTCTAGACTGGGCAGAAAGAACCCACAGGAGGCATTGTGCAGACACATGGTCAACAAAACTCCAAGGAAACTTTCAAAATCCCATTTTGAACCTCATCCCCCAAGATTCTCAAGTTAGTAGGTATGTCATGAGACTAGGGCTCTATAGTCTACTAAATTCCCGAATTATTTTGTTTAGCCACACTTTTAGAACTACTGTGATGGAGAAGAATGGAGAGAAAGACCTTCTGAGGAAGACAGGCATCAAAAGAATCCTATCCTCATGAAAAAACAGAATCAAGGACTCACCTGAGTCACACAAGTACTAAAAAGTACTAACTGTACAAAATAACAGAAAAGAGAGACATTGTGTAACTATGTATATTCCCTTCCTCCCAACCACATCCCCAAATTCAGAACCACGATGACAGCTGAAAGAATAGAATCAGGCAAATCTCATGGTTCACAATGAGAGGAAGAAATAAAAAAGCTCGGGTCCCACATGAGCAGCGTGATGTAATGACAAAGGCCTAACACCCAGCAGAGGGGGAGGGTGAGCCCTAACTGGAGTGTTTGCCGATTTCTGTAGTGTAAATATTCCCACCATGGGGAATTTTGAGATCCCAATATGACATTACTAGTACCTGCAGTTTGGAAAGATGTATGTAGTAATTACAGTATTTTCATTATACAAAAATCAGAGACATAAATAACTTCAAGAGCAAAGACAGAAATAAAAGTAATACAGCAATTAGTAAATTACAGGGTGTGGAATTTATTGGTTTTATTTTGAATATAGTCTAATGTAAGTTTAAAATCTCAACCAGGAATTTTAATTTTAATTACTTCATATAATTCCTGAAAACTTAAAAGTCAACTCAACATGACTCAGTTCTACCACATCAGTTGTAAAAGCTTCAAAAGACATGTGGACATGTGGTTTTACAAATTTTTATTTCTTTTGGATTATTCTCAGAGGACAAATTACCTTAATCAAAATTTGTCTATATTAAATATATTGCCAAGTTTCCTTCCAAAATTATTATAACAATTCTATTCTGCCACAAAATATTAGAATTTTTCCTGTTTTCACTCAGATCTGTTGGGCCTGAAAGATTAATAAATAATACTTTGTTTTAAAAAAAATCAAAAACAAACAATTGGCTGGCTTTCCACCACCCAGCTCTTACGCTCTTCTTCCCTGCAACAAAGATTCAGCAGCATCTCTGCAAATCTGGGACTGAGATGAGAGTTAGAGGCTTCACTCCATTCATGGGCCGAGCTTTAAGGTACTTACTGCCTACAACAGCCTAACAGGTAGTTCCCTCCCCGCAGAATAACAGGATTCTGGCTGTATTTCCAACATGCTTCCCTTGCACTTTTAAAAAATATTTTTGACAATCACTGTAATGTTAGGACCAAAAATAGAGTTCATTCCTGTATCTTGTACCCACACTTAACATTAGTTTATATAGTTTTACTTCAAAGTGGGAATAAAAAGTGACATTTGAAAGACAGGATTTAAAGCTCACTTTCTATGTGTTTTTTTCTACTATTAGACCTTTGACCAAATTTCTCCTTTTTGACTTTGCTTCTGCATAACATCACAGCCCCGTACATCTGAAGCTATTTTCCTGCCCTACATAACAGCCCCCCAATCCCAACCTGCCTACTTGTTTTTCTTATCTGAAGGACATCTGTATCAGAACATGAGTAAAAAACACTGCATAAAACAGCCAATGAAATGAGAGAGCCGCTGATACAGGATGCCAGACGGTCAACTGTGTGTGCGTGTGTGTGTGTGTGTGTGTGTGTGTGTGTGTGTGGTGTGTGTATATTAAAGAATGAGTAGTTAAATAGTACAAATGAAACAAGTGAATCACTAACCACAAAAGTCTTCTAACCCATGAATAAAATTAATCACATCATCTTCCTACATCCACTAAGGGCACCCTTTCATTCAGCTCCTGCCTATTATACACAAAAATGCCCACAGAGTCTGAGAACTCAAGGACCTCATTCTCTCAGAAAGACAGACAATAAACAAAACCATTGCAAGTCCAATGACTCTAGCTTCATAACACATACAAAATCCACCCAGATAAAAGCAGTATAAACCAGACGAGATTGTTAAGAAGATCCCAGGCAGGCACTAATAGCTCCCTTATATCTTAATTCCCCCAAACTTTGTTGATTAGCAACCGTTTAAACAGTATTAAGATCAACTCCAAGATAAACTAGAGGAAACATCACTTCCAACTGCTTTTGATATTTCACAGCATTGCCTTTGGTAACAACACTCAGCCCCAGGCTCTTCAGAGAGAATTCACACAGATGTTCTCTATGACCCTCTGCATCTGATTCTCCCCTCTCTTCTTACCACTTTCCTTCTCTCCATACTTACTCCGGTTCTCCTTCTTCCAAATATGCTGTCTATAAAAGCCTATCTCAAAAAAAAAAAAAAAAAAAAAAGAGCACTGTTGAAATCACATGTTTAGGTTCCTGGTTTTAGCACAGAGTTTGTAAGCTGATGACCTTAGAAGTCTCCCACCTCCACCACCCCCACAAAGAGCCAACTTTTGGCTGATTTTCTTTTGTGCATCACAGGTTTTCAAAAGGGGCTGAACTCCCGATCCAAAATGCAAAAAAAAAAAACACTGACTATAAAAGAAGACATTTGACTCATCCAGAGAACAGTCCAGGATTACAAGCCAGCAGCAGCAGCAGAAACTTGGGGTTCAGGAGCCCTTACAGGCTCAGAATCAGCTTCCAGCTTCCGCGCTGCCCACCTCTGATGTAACCTGGGCCCTCATTTAACATACTCAACCCAGTGTGGTCACAGCAATTGTTAAAATATTGAAGAGTTTTGTTCCTAATTGGCAAATAGTGCCTTGGTCTCCTCAGACCTTCCCAGGATCCCTGCCCCAACCTCGTTACAATCAAGTGTAACACCCTGGTCTAGCGGAAGAGTCTTCCAGTCTGTCCTGTCCCAGTGCTGGACATTAACTTCCCACCCCTGAACATAACCGTGCACTAATATGACTTCCTTGGCCGATCTGTACTATGACTAAAGTTAAGTCAAACTTTTATCCCTAAGGACAAGCACAAAATGGGAACAGAAACTGAAAAACATTAAGAAAGGTGCCAACGCAGGCTACTTCCCCCCCCTTCTCCCTCCCCTGCCCTCCCCTCCCCTTGCCCTCCTTTGTCCTTCTTTGAACTAGGGATTGAACCCAGGGCTGTCACACTGAGCTATGTCTCCTGACTTTATCATCATCATCATCATCATTAGTTTTAATTTTGAGAAAGTTTTGTTAAATGTAGAGGCTGGGTTCAAACTTTCAATCCTTCTGCCGTGACCTCCCAGATTACAGGCCACATACTCAGCTGTAGGCTGTTTTTGCTAAAGAGGAAAGAAACGTCCTTTGATGAGGCTGCCTGCAATGGAACCCCAACTCTGCCATGACCTAGCCACACTATCTCAAACTACACTGCCTGTAAAATGGATTTAATAAGATTACCTAAGTTACAGAGTTTCTTTGAGCATGAACCATGCACCTTTATAAAATGTTCAAATAGTGCCTGTCACAAAGTAAGCACCATGTGCATCACTATGTTTATTCAATAAATTTTTTAAAATTAAGCAAGTTTTAAAACCTAAGCAAGAAGGATTTTAAAAAAGACCTGTGATAGTATGAAGCAGTTACATAACATTTACTATTGTTTAATAACCCAACTAAAACATCTGGGATCCAGACTTTATACTGCGCTGTAAATGTAGAAAATTGATGTACTAGAATTCATTCCCACTGAAGCCTACAATGTGATTTGTATGATTCCTTTTCTAATCACAAATGTCACAGGCTTCTAGAAAGCTAAAGTCATACATATCTCATTTTAACTGTGTAGTCATTTTTAGCCACACCCTTGCAAATACATTTTATTTGTGGTGTTAAAACTTAAAAGGGATTGTAAACACAAGACCAGGTCTTGCACAGCTACAGCTTTTCTCTTTACCACTATGACTCACCCTAACTGCATGTGTAAGGAGCCATATCTTATGTGCTGGATCCTCCAGCACAGACTTTAGTAAACACCTGGGGTGGACAGGAAACTGTGAAGTCCAACAGCTGGCTTGATCAAAATTTGTTTTACTTACTAAAGAGACATCACAAATTGCCCTCAGTCATAATTTAAATAGGTCCTACTACACTGCTAAAGGAGACAAAACTTGTATTTGTTACTAGTGTTGTTGCTGTTAGCTATTCAGTGGAGGAACTATTCACAGCAATAATTCCTTTCCCTATTCCCACTTCTTGATAGCTAAACCTCATAATGACCTTACAAATGAATTTAAGTAGCTCCCAAACCGGCCATCAAATAGTAATATATTAGACTTTTTCTAGAGGAGATAAAATTTACTAAACACCACCTGGCTGTGGCTTTTTTACTCTCTCTAAAAGTACATTTCTCTGAAGCAAGAAGAGACTCAAGCCTTATTTAGTGAGAAAAAGTATAGCCTCCCATACACTTATTATTAAAATATTAAAACCTTGTAAGAAAGATGAAGAGACTTTTGTGGATGAATGGTAGGGGTGACAGCATAACAATACACTTTAATGCTACTGAGCATGCACTTCAAAATGTTTAGCATTGTAAACTTCATGTTGTATTTTAACAGAAAATAAACTGTTTAAAACCTTGCAGAAATTCAAGTAAATTAATTTTTAACTATAATTTTAAATTAGGAAACACACTACATAGACAACTTCCAAAGAACAGAATTCTCTACCTAGTCATAAATGCAGCACTAAACCTAAATGAAAGTGTAAATATTTGGCACTTATTGTATAAATATTCTGACACCAGAGGCAAACATGGGAAAGATACATTTTCCTCACAGCCTTCACTACCCACACTTTTTACATGGAATGTTGTGTTGGATCTTTAAAAGCCAGGGTGAGAGAGTATACAATCAGTTAAAGGACCCCCAAGCAACCCTGAGAGGCAGTGTACAAATGTGCTTGCAGATGGCATTACAACACTGACTCCTGAAAGAGATCCCTATTCAAATAGGCAACATGTAAATGCAGTGTCTGTTAACACAAACTGTAGATTCCCTACTTTCCCTATGTTTTCCCTGCACTGACATTAAACACACACATTTAACATACATGTGAGTACCTAGTCTCCAGGGCCTGGGTGGCCAACTAAGGGTTAGCAACTGAAAATGGCAGGCCTGGCTGACAAGTGAAGAGAGCTCCCTATTCTGGGGGTAGACTAGAGATCACAGGCAGAATCTCCTGTGCTCCTGAAGATTTCACTTGCATTTAGTGCTTCATGAAGAAAATAAAGACAACCATAATCCAAGTTTAGAAGAAGCAAACATAGGCATGACCTAGATATGGTGGGCATCCCCAAATCCTATCCGCTTGGAAGACAGCACTCTGCCATCTGCCATTCTACAGTCGGGAGAACAAGCCCCCTAACACACGTCCTGCTTCCTCTGGCCCTCGGCCCCCTGGCCTTGCGCCAAGCCACCCTCACCCCACCTCTGAGTCATCACATCACATCTGGGACCCTGCAGCGAGCAGCTGTGTGGCCACACACCCAGGACCGAGCGTAGGGCCGGCTGGCTGTAAACCTTGGAAGGCAGCACTTCCTGGTTGGTCGGGGATGCTGGTGCCATCGCGACCGCCGACCCTGTCACACCACAGCGCGCGCGAGCCCAAGGCGCGCTAGACAACCGGGAGACAGACGGGCTCACTGGGGCCAGTGCACGCCCCAACATCCGCCAGGAGCCAGCACAGCTCTGAGCTCCAGGCAGTCGCCGCCCCTTCTGCCAAAGCGCGCGCCGAAGTGGCCGGCGTGGACTCCTCGGGAATCGAGCCCGTAGGCGGGCGCAGGAAACCCTGGGGCGGCACGGGGCTCGCCGCCCACGCAGCTGCTCAGATCCGGTCGGAGTTAGGCTGGGAGCGGCCGGTGCGCGGGGCTGGAAGGAGGAGGGACGGAGGCCGGCATGGCGGAAATGCGCCCCCGCGGGAGCGCACGGCCTCGCGGCTCCTACCTGCCGGCGAGGGGGCGCAGTCACCCGCACGGTCGGTCGAGGCGGACTCTCGGGCGTCTAGGTCGCCGCGGGCCGGGCTGCAGGCGCTGGAGTCGGGGAACAAGCCCGCGGGACCGAGCGCCCTGCGCTGCCGCCCGGAACTGGCCGCCCGGCTGCGCAGGGGTGGGGCGAGGCGGCGCCCGGGTCCGGCTGGTGGCGGCCGGCAGGGGACTGCGCGCGGCTGCGCCTCTGTGCCGCCGGCTGCTTTGTCTCACTTCTCTCCAAGTTTCCTAACTCCAGCGTCGCAACCCAGGGAATGCGCCCTAGCGCTGTTATTCTTAGGAGGTGCCCACGCTCCGCGCTGAGGGCTGGTTGCCGCTACTGGCCGCCTTCATAAGCGAGCACACGGTGAATCTGCGGGGGAAATATGTGGCCCCGGGTGGCGCATTGAAGTAGGTGCCTCCATGATGTTATCTGCGTGCCACTGTTATCGCCAATCTCCAGACGAAGAAACTGGCCGGAAAACTGAAGTAACCAACCCAAAGTCACCCACTTAAGATGGCAGGAGATGACAATTTGTGCCTTGATGTCTCTTAAAAGAATCGTAGCATAAAACTATAAATTGGGACTGAAACATGGGAAAAGTTCCCATTCCACTCGTCCAGTTTGACCATTTTTAACCCAAGTTGGACAGAAACTTCAGGAAAAGAGAACGAGTTGTCACGTGGCTTGAATACCCAGCCCTTTGGAATGGGGTTTTGGATTTAAGCCATTTCTAACCTCATTGCGCAATGTCGCATCCCACCAAAGCTAAAGGGAATGAGGACCTCTCCATACGCCCAACTTTTAATGTGGTGCACTTTAAAGCTTTGAGTGGCTATTACACAGCCGAGACTGGCCGACTTACATAACGTCTTACTGCACACATGGCACTACATAAAATGAAAAATGTAATATTTCAACCCCAAATCGGAGAAGGGGTGAAATTATAGTCTGGAATTCAGTTTTTTTGTAACCTATAGTTCTCGGGTTCCCTGGAGTGCATTTTTTTCTCTTGAGCACATCTTTTCTTAATGATGGGAGAGTCACACAGCCATCACTCTTTCCATGTTGACAGAAGTAATTGATGTCTTTTAAATCCTATGATACTAGTGGGTTTTTACAATTAAACACATGGCCCTCTGCGCAAGGAGAGTATTGCCTAAAAGGAGTTTGGCAAGGTTACCACAAGCATGTTACTGAAAGCCAAACTACCCTCCTGCGCCCCTCTTTCTCAAGCTTTATTAGTCACAGATGATTTGATAAGTATTATGCACACAAGTGACTGCACTGTTAAAAGCCTGCCTTTAGAAAGTACAGTGCTTTTGGGTGAGAAGCAGCAGGCTGTAAAATTGCACCCTAATTTCTTAAGGGTCATCACTAAAACATCTGCTATTAACGAATGACAATAGGTCTTTCTATTAATTCTAATTAAAATGTAAGAAAATGCCCTCAAAATAGCTGAATTTCTGCCTCACTACGGAAGAGGAATAAAATATAAAAATGCCAAATGGGGCTTCAAAATGAACATAAACTATGTGGTCTGCCAAATATAAATTTTCAAAATAGTGCAATTGTGTAGGTAATTATTTCTACGTTCCTGAGAGATTTTGTGATTTTTTTTTCTTTTCCAGAGTTGTCAAGAAAAATTCTATTATATATCTACTTCAGTATGCATAACATTTATGTCAGACAAGTGTTATTCTAAATCCTTATCTTTTCTTCTAATTATAAGAATATGCATTTGTTATAATTTTTACATGTATATGTTACAAAAATCTTTTGTTAATGAAAGTTATCCATGATCCTCACATACACATTGCTAACATTTTGGTATATTTCTTTTTAATTATTTTTCTATACTTAAGATTTATTTAAAATTTGGTCTCACTGGATATCTATAAATTGAGTATTTTTAATTGTCATTAACGATCTGCATGTAATTATATTTTAATTGTATTAAAATGCAATTTTTAATGGTTGAAGAATAGTGTATTACCATTTCTATTTGTTGATCTATTGGGATTGATAGCTTTTGGAATATTTTCAACTTTTTTGCAGTTTATAAATCATGTAAGAGTAAACACTGGATTTATCATTTTTGTTGAAATCTCTTAATTCTTCGGATAGATTCTTAAAAGTGGGTCAGTATTTATAAACAGTTTTGAGATTCTGTGTTGCTGCAAACTTACTTGCCGTAACCGTAACTAAGTATTGTCTTTTTATAACTTGAAAGGATGATTGCATCCAAGTCATATTTTGTTGTAATCTTCATTTCTTTGACAGTTAGTAATGTTAATCACTATTTTTCATTCTAATGATTCTGTGCTTCATTTACAGAGAATGATCTGTACATATCCATTGCCTACTTTTTCCCGTGGTGAATACTCCTCTTTCTCCTTCATTTCTAACAATGTCTTCAGTAAGAATGGCACTCTAAAATTTATATATATGGTCTATAAAATTTATATGCCACGTGTTACTCCTCCAGATTTTTTGTCCAGGTATCTTTTATATCTTGCATTCAGGTCACCTAGCTCAATTTTGGGATGCTGCCATCTATCCTCTTTTGTGGTAGTTCCCTTTTCTTATTAAGAATTATCTCTCCATTCATGGGAATTGTCCTGGCAGGAGAGCAGCTTCTGGCAGCAACCCAATGGAAACGGTGGATCCACTTCAAAGAATGAGGGAGCTAAGGGTGTTTGAGGTTGGGCTCCACTGAGTAGAGGCAGTAGTGACCTTAGCAGTAGCTTTAGTGACCAGTCAGAGGCTGTTTCTGGCTTGTTGGTTTTATTCAGCTAGTGGGTAACCTGCTTGGGTCCTGCTGTTCACCACTTCCTGTCTATTCTAAAGGCCAACGGTAGTCCTTTTCCTTCAGATACTGAAAATCTGTATTCATTGCTTGTGTTGAAACCTTCACTTACACAGTTTTTGTCACCCTTGAATCTTTCAGTCTGCCAGATTAACAACCATTAATGTCATTCATTCATTTATAAACATTTACTAGCTGATATAAAATTAAGTGATCACTGCACACATGTTAGTGGAGAGACACAAGATATTTTATCCTAAATCTTCCTGTGACATAAATCACTTTAGCCTCAGTGACAGAATGTAAGATGAGTACAATGTATTTAGGATCAAATTTTTTTGAAAATAAATTTACAGTGGAAAACAGGAAAAAAAATCTCAAGACAGAATGAGGAATAGAATGAGCACATATTGCCAAGGAATATAGAGGTATCATGTTTCCACATCCTCCTTTTTGCTTGTTGGATTTCATTCATGGATTCATAATTTGTCCCATTAACAGTCAGTTTTTGGATCATCTACCATGTGACACATGATGCCTACCACCTCAACTGCAACACCAAGCAGCCTTCTTAATCACGTATATAACAAGTCCCTGTGAAACTCTTTTCATATCCAACAGTCCCAAAGTAATCAAATTCCATATACCTAACAAATGGTGTTGGGAAAATCATGCTGAAAATTGAAAGTAGAATGACTAATTTAAATATGATTTTTTAAAAATATGATTTTAATGCATGCATACTTTTTTAATTTTTATTTTTGGAGCAACTTCTGGTAAGATAGTGAGTAGTGTGGTGAGCAGCAGAGAAAGAGCCTCTCCAAGAATTGGTGTCCAGACACTGGAATAGAGCAATACAAGGAAGACAAGGAGAAAGAAAGGGTTGTTTCTTCACTCTGTTGGTTGTTTATGGTGCTGAGCAGAAGCTTTCTAATTTGATATGATTCCATTTGTTGATTCTTAATGTTATTTCTTATGCCATCAGGGATCTGTTCAGAAATGCCTTGCCTGTGCCTATGTCTAAATGTTTCTGTTTTAACATTTAAATCGTTGATCATTTTGATTTTACTTTAGTACATGGTAGGTCTACTTTCAATTTTCAGCATGATTTTCCCAACACCATTTGTTAGAGAGGCTATTTTCTAGTGAATGTTTTTGGCCCTTTTATGAAAGATCAGAAAGCTGAATGTGCTTGGGTTGTTTCTGCATTTTCTATTCTATCCCATGTGACTGTTTTATGCCAGTAACTTTTTAAATTAATTTCAAAACTGGGAATTTGATATCTCCTACATCGCTTTTATTATTCAGGATTGTTTTTGCTGTTTTAGATTTCTTCTGCTGCCATTTTAAGATTGTTTTACCTAGTTTTGTGAGAAATGATGCTTGTATTTTGCCTGAGATTGCGTTAAATTAGTATATACATTCTGGAAATGTGTTCCTTTTGACTGTACCCTTTTTGTTGATCCAGGAACAGGAGATATTTTTACATTTTCTGATGTTCTTTGCACTCTTCTTTTTTGGAGTACTGTACTTTTTATTGTTGAAGTCTTTCACTGGCCTGGTTAGATTAATATCTAAGTATTTAACTTTTTACATTTGTATAAATGGAAATGTTTAAAAATTATTTCTCAATAAATTTATTATTGGTATACAGGAACACTATTAATTTTTGTGTGTTGATTTTGTATCTCACTACATTGCTAAATTTGATTATTAATTATAGAAGTCTTTTGGTCTCCTATAAGTCTTTTTTGGGTGTTTCATGTAGAGAATCATGTTGCCTACAAAGAAAGATTATTTGACTTTTTTATTTCTGATACATATGCTTTTGATTTCTTTCTATTGCCTGATTGCTCTAGCTAAGTTTTCAAGTACAGTACCGAACATACTGGTGAGAGTGAACATACTGGTCTTATTCCTGATATAAGAGGAAAAGACTTCAGATTTCTCCCCCATTTAGTGTAATGTTGGCAGTAGATTTGTCATAATTCGCTTTAATCAGTCTGACATAAGCTTTTTCTATACCTATCTTCTTCAGGGTTTTTATCAAAAATTGCTAGATTTTTCTCAAAGGCTTTTTCTGCATGTTTGGGATGATCGTGTGATTTTTATCTTGGCTTCTATTTATGGGATAAATTATATTTATTGATATGTATACATTAAACTATCTTTGAATCTCTAGAATGAAGCCTGCTTAGTCATGATGTATGATTTTTTCATGGTTTGTTGCATTCTGTTTACCAGTATCTTACTGAGGATTTTTCTGTGTATGTTTAAGAAGAGCTTGGCCTGTAACTCTCTTGCTTGG